CTCCTCCCCTCTCCTCGCTCCTGGGCAAAGCACCTTTTCTGTTCCTTTGTCCCAACTTAAATAGGGCAATTCACAGAGGCACTGATGATTGGCTCAACCCCAAGGGGGATGGGAGTCCGATCTGGTGGCACAGGGAGAAAATCCCCTCTCCTACCACCAGAGCCCCCTCCCCCACATCAAACTATCACAGTAACAAATGATACACTGACCTAAAAAGTGAATTATAAAAGAGTAGGTAGAATTGTTAATTCGGAAAAAAAAAAACAAACAACCTGAAACTTAACATTCTTAACTAATCAAAGTTAATATGACTGCCGTAACTTAAATAATTTTAGCAGGCACATATTACAACTTCTATGGGCAACCTGGTCCAGTACCTCACCACCCTCAGTGACGAGTTTCTTCCTAATATCTAATCTAAATCTCCCCTCTGTCAGTTTAAAGCCATTGCCTCGTGTCCTATCACTACATGCCATTCTAAAAAGTCCATCTCTAGCTTTTTGTGGGTCCTCTTTATAGGTACTGTAAGGCTGCTAGAATGTCTCCCTGGAGCCTTCTCTGCAACCTGGTCCAGTACCTCACCACCCTCAGTGACGAGTTTCTTCCTAATATCTAATCTAAATCTCCCCTCTGTCAGTTTAAAGCCATTGCCTCGTGTCCTATCACTACATGCCATTCTAAAAAGTCCATCTCTAGCTTTTTGTGGGTCCTCTTTATAGGTACTGTAAGGCTGCTAGAATGTCTCCCTGGAGCCTTCTCTTCTCCAGGCTGAACAACCCCAACTCTCTCAGTCTGTCTTCACAGCAGAGCTGCTTCAGCTCTCTGATCATCTTTGTGGCCTTCCTGTGGACTCGCTCCAGCAGCTCCATGTCCTTCTTATGTTTGGGACCTCAGAGCTGAACACACTACTCCATGTGGGGTCTCACAAAGGCAGAGTTAGAGGGACAGAATCACCTCCCTCGACCTGCTGGCCACGCTTTTCTTCATGCAGCCCAGAATACAATTGGCTTTCTAGACTGCAAGCACACATTGCTGGCTCCTTATTCAAGCTTATGTTGAGCTTCTTATCAACCAATACCCCCAAGTCCTTTTCCTCAGGGCTACTCTCAATCCATTCTCCACCCAGCCTGTACTTGTGCTTGGGATTGCCCTGACCCACGTGCAGGACCTTGCACTTGGCCTTGTTGAACTTCATGAGGCTCACATGGGTCCACTTCTCAAGCATGTCAAGGTCCCTCTGGATGGCATCCCTTCACTCCAGCATGTCCACCACACCACACACATCATGGTGCTGTCGTCAGCAAACTTGCTGAGGGTGCACTCAATCCCACTGTCCCTGTCGCCATCAAAGATGTTAAACAGTGCCGGCCCTGATACCGACCCCTGAGGAACACCACTCGTCACCGGCCTCCACTTGAACATTGAGCTGTTGACCGCAGCACTTTGAGTGCGACCATCCAGCCAATTCCTTATCCACCGAGTGGTCCATCTGTCAAATCCATGTTTCTCTAATTTAGAGACAAGGATGTTGTGTGGGACAGTATCAAATGCTTTGGAAAAGTCCAGGTAGACAATGTCAGTTGCTCTTTTCTTATCCACCACCAATGCTGTAATCCTGTCATAGGCAGCCACCAAATCTATCAGACACAATTTGCCCTTAGCGAAGCCATGTTGGCTCGCACCAATCACCTCCTTATTTTCCATGTGCCTTAGCATAGTCACCAGGAGGATCTGCTCCATGAACTTGCAAGGCACAGAGGTGAGACTGACTGGCCTGTAGTTCCCTGGGTCTTCTTTTTTCCCCTTTTTGAAGATGGGGGCTATGTTTCCCCTTTTCCAGTCAGTGAGAACTTCACCAGATTGCCACGACTTCTGAAATATGATGGATAGTGGCTTAGCAGCCTCATCCACCAGTTCCATCAGGACCTGCGGATGCACCTCATCAGGTCCCATGGACTTGTCCACCTTCAGGTTCTTTAGATGGTCTCGAACCTGATCTCCTACAGTGGGCGGTTCTTCATTCCCCCAGTCTCTGCCTTTGCCTTCTGCAGCTTGGGCTGTGCGGCTGGAGCTCTTGTCAGTGAAGACTGAGGAAAAGAAGTCATTGAGTACCTCAGCCTTCTCCATATCCCGGGTAACCAGATCTCACGTTACCTTCTGGAGAAGACCCACGTTTTCCTTAGTCCTCCTTTTATCACTGACATAACTATAGAAGCTTTTCTTGTTGCCCTTGATGTCCCTGGTCAAATTTAATTCCATCAGGGCTTTAGCTTTCCTAACCTGATCCCTGTTTGCTCGGACAATTTCTCTGTATTCCTCCCAGGCTACCTGTCCTTGCTTTCACCCTCTATAGGTTTCCTTTTTGTGCTTGAGTTTGTCCAGGAGCTCCTTGTTCATCCATGCAGGCATCCTCGTGGTTTTGTGTGACTTCTTTGTAGGGATGCACTGCCTCTGAGCCTGGAGGAGGTGATCCTTGGATATTAACCAGCTTTCATAGACTCCTCATCCCACCAGGGCTTTATCCCATGGTACTCTACCAAACAGATCCCTTAAGAGACCGAAGTCTGCTTTCCTGAAATCCAGGGCTTGCTGTGTGTCCTCGTCGTCCTCGTCGCTGCCCTAAGAATTTTGAACTCCACCATTTCATGGTCACTGCAGCCAAGGCTGCCCTTGAGCTTCACATTCCCCACCAGCCCCTCCTTGTTGGCGACAACATAGTCCAGCAGAGGACCTCTGCTCATTGATTCCTCTGTCATTTGGAGAAGGAAGTTGTCATCAGTGCATTCCAGGAACCTCCTGGTTTGCTTATACCCTGCTGTGTTATCCCTCCAACAGATATCAGGGTGGTTGAAGTCCCCAGTGAGAACCAGGGCTTGTGAACGTGAGGCTGCTCCTATCTGACTATAGAGGCCCTCATCCACTCGGTCTTCCTGCTCACGTGGCCTGTAGCAGACCCCAACTATAATGTCACCTGTCCCCTGCCCATCCTCTAATCCTGACCCGTAGGCTCTTGGTCGGCTCCTCATCCATCCCCAGGCGGAGCTCCATGTGCTCCTGCTGGTCACTGACATAGAGGGCAACATCTCCTCCTTATCTCCCCTGCCTGTCCTTCTTAAAGAGCCTGTAATCTTCCTTTCCAACACTCCAGTCATAGGAACCATCCCACCATGTCTCCATGATGCGAATAAAATCATAACCTTTTAGGTGTGCACAAATCTCTAACTCCTTTTGTTTATTCCCCATGCTACATGTGTTTGCATAGAGGCATTTAGGTTGGGCCCTCGATGAAGCTGACTTACTGCCTGGAGGGGCTGGAATTCCTTTCTGCTGCACTTCAGGTGTTCTCAGCTTGTCACCAGCAAGCCTGATACTGTCCCTCTCCCTTTTCAAGTCTAGTTTAAAGCCCTGTCAGTGAGCCCCGCTAGCTCATGAGCAAAGACCCTCTTCCCCCTTTGAGAAAGATGAATCCCATCTTGCACCAGCAAGCCTGGTGCCATGTAGGCCATCCCGTTATCAAAAAACCCAAAATTGTGGCAGTGACACCAGCCACGGAGCCATGTATTAATAGACTGGGGGTGTCTGCTTCTTCCAATGTCACTGCCTGCAACTGGAAGAAGAGAGGAAAAAATAGCTCGTGATCCAGGTTCCCCTACCAACCATCCCGGGGCCCTGAAGTCTCTTTTGAGTGCCCTTGGACTATGCTTTGCAGCTTCATCACCACCCACATGGAAAAGCAGTAATGGGTAATAGTCTGATATATTAAACCTGCCTATGTGATCCATAAAATAGAAAGAAAAATGGTGAGAAAGCAGAAATAGCTCTTTCTTTACCTTAAGTTTTGCTTTTAATGGACTTTTAATTCCTATCTTCAATTTGTAACCTTGAAGCATATGTTTTCACCAGACCAAATTAACAGGAATGTATAAATTTTTCATGATTTTTTTTTCCTGCTGTTTTCTTGCAGTCAATCAAGAAGTGGAAAGAAAAGCAGCATCAAGAAAAAGAAGGAAATTTGAAGGAGAAAGAGAAATCAGAAAAAATACTCAAGGAACAATGTCTAAAGCATGAAGAAGCTCAGAAGCAAAAAGCAGAAGAAAGAAAAAGACAACAAACAGCAGTTGAAGCATGGAAGAAACAGAAAGCAATAGCATTTGCAATGGAACAGGCATCAGAACTAAAACTAGAAGAAGAGAAGGAGAAAGAGCAACAAAAAGAACGCCAGCACCAATGCCGCAGGAGGTTACTGTTGGAAAGCTATACCTTGCAGAAGAAAGAAAAGGAGGAGCTTGACAAGCTTGAAGAGGAGAAGAGAGAGGAAGCTGAGGAGGAGGAAAGGAAGAGAATTGCTGCAGAAGAAATTACTAAGTTTCAAGAGCGTGTGCGTAATTGCATCTCCATTTATGCACGTTGTTTTAAATTCACCTACTTCCTCCTACAACAGAATCTGTTAGACACTTTTTAAAATCCTAAATACTCAAGTTTCATTCATTTAAATCTATTTTTGATTCACTATGAGTAACAGCATCTCTTACATGCAAGAAACAGCATGAAACTTTATTTTCATAGAATCGTAGAATGGTTTGGGTTGGAAGGAACCTCAAAGATCATCTAGTTCCAGCCCCCAGCCATGGGCAGCAACACTTTCCACTACATCAGGTTGCTCATCATAAAGCCCATCCAGCCTGGCCTTGCACACTTCCCGGGATGGGCCATGCACAACTTCTCTGGGCAACCTGGTCCAGTGCTTCACCGCCCTCAGAGTGACGAGTTTCTTCCTAATATCTAATCTAAATCTCCCCTCTGTCAGTTTAAAGCCATTGCCCCTTGTCCTATCACTACATGCCATTGGAAAAAGTCCATCTCCAGCTTTTTGGAGGTCCTCTTTATAGGTACTGTAAGGCTGCTAGAAGGTCTCCCTGGAGCCTTCTCTTCTCCAGGCTGAACAACCCAGCTCTCTCAGCCCGTCTTCATAGGAGAGATGCTCCGGCCGTCAGATCATCTTTGTAGCCCTTCTCTGGACCCACTCCAGCAGTTCCACATACTTCTTATGTTTGGGACCTCAGTGCTGTACACAGTACTCCACATGGAGTCTCACAAAGGTGTTCCTTTCCTCAATATCTAAGTTCTACAGGGTTATTCAAGCCCAATTTTCTTTCTACATATAAAAGTGGTTTAATTTACTTCATTATGAAAATGTTTGGGAAAACCAGCTTGGGCTGTGATGCTTTCCATGCTATAGAAAATGTCAAAAGACCTGACTGTTGTATGCAGATAGGAAAGAAAAAGATACGGTTGAAGACCCTGGAGGCTTCAGTAGCTGTAAGGTCAAGTTAGATCCCGTATCAATGTAAATCTTATTGTCAGCATTCAAATTAGAGTTCATTTTTGTAAACAGATTAAACTACATCCATTTTTTTTTTCAAAGCTGTGTAACTATAATTGGTTTGTGTGGGACAAGCTACAGCAAGTATCTACCTAGTGTCACTTTATTCTAAACTATGACAAATAATTTCAAAACAAAAAAAAATCACAACTGTGGAAAGGCTGCATATATATTTTCATACAATTTGTTTTGCTTCCAAAGAAAAGTTTGCTTTTCCATTTGTTATGTGTTTCAGGATCTACATAAACTGGAGCTAAGGATTCTACAAAAACAAGCTAAAGAAGTAGAGAAACAAGAAAAAGAAAAGAGGTTGGCAAAGTTAAGAGAGAAGGTAACTTTTCTTGTTCTAATCTGAGGTGCATGCAGCTTGGTTGTTTAAACAACCTTTTTCCTCATTGATCTAAAAAGCAATTATTTTTACTTATGTAAATGGTTGATAAGAGAGAAAAAAATAAATAATAAGTTATGGTTGTTCTCAAGAGACAAAAATGCAGCAGGCATAGTTGCTCTAATGTTAAAAAAAATGGTAAGAGAGAAATTATGTATCTACAGAAAATATTTATTCTGAGTAAAGCCTATAGCTCATACAAATGAGCTGCAATATGGATGGTGTTTTATATTTTTCAAATGGTGCCATTATTTACAAAAAGTAGGCTGGCCTCCAGAAGAGTTTTGGGACCATTGTCTGTGTTCTTAAGAGTTTAATCTTTTAAATTACTAAAGTTTAATGAGAGCAAGCAGTTGTTTCCCCTCTTACTGATGTCATGTTCCTGCCATTTCCCGTAATAGTAGGGGGGGAAAAAAGTCTCTTTCTGGCTAGCCAGCTGTGTTTTGTTTACTCTGCATGTATTCATGCGGTGAAGACCTGAGGGGTGCACGTAACTCATTCTGGGATCAATGAAAAAGACCGGTTTTTTATTTGTTGGTTTCATTCTGAGGTCGAGATTGATGTCACCATCAAGAGACCAGTCCAGGTTGTACAGACCAGCCGAGGTCTGGAAGGAACGTGCAGAAGAGATGGCGTCAAGAGCTTCAGAACCGGTTTTCTGTATTCCCCATAGGTAAGAAGGAAAGTGGTGGACCCATAGCATGACAAAAGCACAGTTACACAAGAGCTGTTTATGCCTTTTTTTCCTTGTTTTCAGGGCTGTCCCAGCCTGGAGACAAGGCTTATAGATGAGAACCTGCCTGGCTCTGTCACAGGGTGATGACTTCGTCCGCGCTGTAGCGGCCAGCAGCTCTCCGGAGCGGTCGCAAAATTTGCTTGACACAATGACGTACGGTGACCTTTGTATTTCGCGCGTGTCAGATTTAAACCGTCACCTGT